TGGTTTGGCCGTGGTGGGTTTGGCCGTGGTGGGTTTGGCTGTGGTTGGTTCTGAGGATGTTCAACAGTTCACTGAGGGAATCACTGCAGATGTGGCAGCCCCAGCTGCACACCCAGGTGTCAGTACATCGATTTATTTGGTCTCCAAGTAGGGGTGTTATTGATGCCTCAGCCAGGGGTGGGCTTGAGACAGGAGCAAGCAGAAATTAAGGCAGGACAGGGGTGCTGTAGGAATCTCTCTGCTCAAATCACTCCATCCAGATAATGGTACATTTTTATCTTGTTAGGACAAAGCATTTATTAAAATGACAAGGCACTGCTCTGCTTTGAGCCAACCTCCCACTCCCCTGCAGTGTCTCCTGCGGGTTTCTCTGTCAATATTTATATTATTTGACTTTGTAACTTCTCGGAAAATAAACTCCATCTACTTGTGGGTTTATTTAGTAAACAGAGCCTATTCCTCAGCTCTCCCCGGTGACCCAGGCTCTGTCTGTGCGTGGTGTAAGGCGGGTTTTCTTTCCATAAGTAGGAAACTCAGGTTTTGGAACCATAACTCCCAAAACCACGGGGAAAATTGGGCACTCCAAAGGGCAGGATTGCACAGCTGGGTGCAGGAATTTTGGAATACAGCAAGAGCCCAGGGTGGGTTTTCACCAGGCCAGGCTGGAAGCTGAGGGGGTTTTTCAGGGTGAATTCCAGGAGGCAAACACCAAAACCATGATCTGTCATGCCAAGATGGAAAAACTGCTCCTGGAGCAGAATTCCTCACTGTGCCTGTGCTGTGGTGTCAGTCAGAGGTGGAGGCTGAGGAAGGAGCAGGGTGTTGACACCAGAGGCTGCTGTTTTGGCTGGTTTTGGATGCTGCTGCTGCTGCTGCTCTGGAGCAGATGGTCAGGGTTCATTTGTATGAAACAGAAAAAAACCGTTTCGTTTTCTATTTATACTTTTTAATAGTCTCTGTTGTGTCACGTGGCCTCAGATCAGAGCAGGACTGTTTGTGAGTATGAAGGGAGTTTGTGTTCCAGCATCTCTCGCTGGGGTCAATAAACCACATTTTAGAGCCCTCTGAGCAACCTGACCCTTGGAATTTACCTGCAAACGGTGATTAATGTGATTTTCATCATCTTCCCCCCCCCCCCCACCCTTCTGTGGCCTTTCTAACACCATTCAGAAACGTTCTTAATGAAGAGCTGTTATTGCAGGCTCTTGGAGGAGTCCAGTGACTTGCCTGGTGCTGTTTAGTGCCAAATACTTCATAGGAATTTCCATGCAGGGAATGTCGAAGGGCAATTCCACTTCAACGTGATCTTCCCCCATGAATTTTTTGCTGGCTGCTGCTGTAGGTGTTTCTTTGGCTGGTTTTTTGCCTGTTTTCTTTTTTGACATTTACAAAAGCTCCAGACCCCAGCGAAGCCCTGAGTTCATTCAGCTCCACTTGGGTTAAAAACACTTCCTTTGGGAAGCTCAGCGTGGTTTTGAATTTATTCAGCAATTAGCTGGCTCTTGGATTATTGAGGAGGATGAATAGGCAGTAGCTAATTAATTTGCTTATACAGGGCATTGTTCGTGCAATTCTGTAGAACAATGGCAAAATTAATGTGGTTTCTCAGCCGAGGACGTGTGAGGTTCCATGTGCATCCCAACACAACTCCAGCACCAGCTCTGCCAGTCCTTCTGTGGGAGAAAATGAGGGGAGCTGCAGCCCCACAGCAGGTGGGTCACCTGGCAGTGGTTCCAGGAGTGTTACAGGGCTCGTCTTCTGGTGGATAACTGGGATTTTTTTCCAGCAGAAGTGCTTCTGTGGCTCTGAAACTCCTCTCCTGTGGAAGTGCATTGCCCAAGCCCTGGCAGAGTGAACATGAACAGGGCACACGTGGAGATCTCCTCTGAACTGGGGACAGTCATCCCCAAAATCCCTCCTGAGCTTCCATCTGACAATAAGAGAGAAACAAATACATCCCATTA